ACCCCCCCCCCCCCCCCCCCCCCCGTTCTCTGTTCTCTGGCTGCCTTTCTCTAGGTTCTGATTCAGATGCTGATTTTCAATCATTTTAAGGGTCCGTAAAAAGGTGAAACATTTGACGAGGTTTGCTCATCTGTTGTGTTCTATGCACATGACGAAAGCGCTGCTTCTGCGTGTCTGTTTCAGAGCATCCCTTTTTCGTTGGAGTCCAGTACCACCCTGAGTTCCTGTCCAGGCCCATCAAGCCTTCGCCTCCGTACTTTGGCCTTCTGCTGGCCTCCGTGGGGAGGCTTCCGCATTACCTCCAGAAAGGCTGCAGGCTCTCGCCCAGGTGCGGTCACTCCTCTGTAGTCCATCAGGGTGTCCCCTGCCCATTACTATGGTCTCCCTGGTGTTCCCAGCTGCTTCTGTGCTGCCCAGACCACCCCCCCCCCCCCCCCCCCCCCCGTGGTGGCCGGGGCCCCTCACCGTAGCACCTGGCCTCCGGGATCCCATGTAGCAGTAGGACCCTGGGTCCGTGGGGAACTGGCTTTCACAGGCTGGCGGCCACAGCCCTGGTGGATTTCCTGCCCCGCTGCGACTTTATCCTCACCCTGAGCTGGTGGGTAGAGTATCAGGACCACAGTGTAAGTCGAACGTATATCTTTTGTAACTAGAAGAAGAAAATCCCTCTACAGCTCCATGCTAAATACATAAGGCAGGAAAGCGTCTGATTCCTGCTGTGTGTAGGCAGGTGTCCCTGTGGTGATGGTGGCTAGAAAAACAGAGAAGGAAAGCGTGTGTTTGGTGGGAGACAACGAATAAACCATCTGAATTTCACAGGGACACCTACAGCGACAGGAGTGGAAGCAGCTCCCCGGACTCTGAAATCACCGAGTTGAAGTTTCCGTCAATAAATCATGACTGATGATGACGTAAGTGGTGTTTTTAAGCTGTAGTATTTTTGTTTGTTTTAATGGCGATAATACTAGAATGGCAAGGATATTGCGAAGGTTCAGTGTGGAGAACTTTATCTGCCCAGAATGCAGGTGGTAGGGTCCGTGTGGGCATCAGCCAGGTGAGAGACCCATCTGAGTTACAGCGCACCCGTCCCCCTGCCTCGGGGACCCCAGTGCAGGGCAGAGGGGACACGAGTCATTGGGCAGCTGTCTTGTTACCGATTGCTTCATTCAGGTGCCAGTCTGACCAAATCTGGGGGAACTGGGTTCTCAGACCCTGTTATTTCATGTAGCTGTAAACTTAGAGATCGTGAAGGAGGTGACGGGTATGACAAAGCGGTGTTGGTCACTTTTGCAGAAACTCAGGCTTTCGTCAGGAAGTGCTTTAAGATTGATACCTACAACACTTTTATGTTGACTGCTGCTTATTCTCGAACTCCCTCAGAATCTGAACAGTTACCAGGCCAGCTTTGAACGTTAGTCTTTATGGTGACAGGGTTTGTACGTCTATAAAGTCCGGTAGCCTTGGGCACTGCCGTGAATTATATAAAATATCGTGATAACTGAGTGAACCGTGTCGGCAAAAATCCACACCTTGGTGGTGGGGTGTCGGAAGGGGGTTGGGGTGGCAGGAACCCGTGGGGTCTGAAGGAACCAGGGCTGTCTCGCGGTCCCATGTTTGGGGGCCCCACCACAGGCGGGCGGCCTCCTGAAGCCTGCGCCCCTCACATTCACACGCACGGCTGTGCCCCTCCCGCCCTGGACGCTGAGCCACTGGCCCGTGAGAGCGTGAGGGGGCGCTGGTTCCCGTTAGCACACACGCACACATGCATCGCTCTGCTGGGGGGGGGGGTGGGCGGGGGGGGGTGTCTGCTGGTCTAAGAAACTGCGCTATAGACACAGCAAGCGTTCACGGTCAGGGGCTGGGTGGCGGGTCAAGTCTGTGGAGACGCTCCTTGCTGCGTCGAGTGGAGGCTCCCCCGCCAGCGGCCTGTGAGGAGACTGGGCGCACCGACCGGAGCCCCGGTGTCGGGGTGGAGGAAGAAGCCCCTGAGATCTGGAAAATGTGTGGGGGTGCAGGAATCATCAATGCAGCTTCTGACTCCTCGCGTTAGGTTCCTGCCGCTGGTCCTCACTGAGTCCCTGGCGTAGTTTGGCACAGCAGCCGACGAAATCCTCACTTGTCTACTGGAACATACGTCGTGTAACTGCTCTCTCTCTCTCTCTCTGTCTCTCTGTCTCTCTTTTGTTTAACAGGGATGATTCTTCCAGACAGCCTTCGGACTTGAGAGTTTACAGCTTTGATTTTACACTCAGCTTTTGACACTTCCTTTAAATTATGTTTTTATTAAGATTATTTTATTATGGGGGAAAGGTATTTGGAAGACTCTGTGACTCGCATGTCCCGTCCTGTGTATCGGCTCCTACACAGTGCCGCCCCGTGTGGACGCCTCGTGTGGAAACCCCGTGTGGAAGCCTGGTGTGGACGCCCCGTGTGGTCCCCAAAGCTCTTGGCCGAGGAGCGAGCGGGTCCTCTGGGCAGGAGCGGATGATGCACGTGCCGGTGGAGCGCCCATTGGTCACCTCGTTTCTCCAAACTACCTCCTGTCGTGGTGGATCCAGGCGTGTAGCCCGTCGCCTCCCCTTGAATGCCTAGACCGTGGGAAGTGTGTGCCACGCGGACCTAGTGCGTGCGGAGGGACGATTCTGGCGAGTGCTCACGGCGGCTGGTGCTGGGAACCCCTGCTCTGCGGGGCCGCCCGCCGCCCGCCGTGACTGGTACTGTCGTCCAAAGGGAACGGTTAGTTTGGGGTCACGTGGAACAGCAGGTGGCCGGTCTCTCGGAAGCGTGGTTTCCGCATCCCTGTGCTCTGGCCACACTTCTCTTCCTGGGGCTGGGAGATACTCCTTGCATCAAGGGGTTGCTTAAAAAAAAAAAAAAAAGAAAGAAAGAAAAAAGAACAGAATCTTTTGGGGAAACTGCCTCTAAAACCCTCTCATCTACAGACAGCTTTGCTTGAGGGGATTTCTTCCTTCCAGAACGGTGTTATTGTGGTTGAAATGCAATATGGAAAGCTATTTTCTTAACGTGACATAACAGTAGGCACCGCCGTGTGCCCGTCCTATTCTGGCTAGCCCCCGTGTATACTCTAACTTAAGAAATAAATAATGCAGAACGAGCCACGCTTTGTGATGTGCTTTACGCCGCGGCCGGTGGGGAACGTCTGAGTGTGGCAGCCAGACATGTCTGTGTCACCTGAACTCTCAGTACCTGGCTCTCCTCCAGTGGGGTGTCCTTTGGTGGATGATCTGATGACACTTCGTTTAAAAACTGAGAGTAGCCATTTTTTTTTAATGTATGTTTATTTTTGAGAGAGAGAGAGAGAGCGTGAGCAGAGAAGGGGCAGAGAGAGAGGAAGACACAGAATGTGAAGCAGGCTCCAGGCTCTGAGCTGTCAGCACGGAGCTCGATGTGGGGCTCGAATCCACAAACTGCAAGGTCATTCATGACCTGAGCCGAAGTCAGACATTTAACTGACTGAGCCACCCAGGCGCCTTGAGAAGCTCTTTTTTTTTCTTTTTAACATTCATTTTTGATAGAAACAGCATGAGTGGGGGAGGGGCAGAGAGAAAGGGAGACACAAAATCTGAAGTAGGCTCCACGCTGTCAGCACAGAGCCCAACGCGGGACTTGAACTGAGAGATCATGACCTGAGCTGAAGTCAGATGCTTAACTGACTGAGCCATTCAGGTGCCCAGAGGAGCCTTTCTTTTTTTAAAAACATTTTTTTTTAACATTTATTTATTTTTGAGAGAGACAGAGACAAAGCATGAGCAGGGGAGGGGCAGAGAGAGAGGGCAACACAGAATCTAAAACAGGCTCCAGGCTCTGAGCTGTCAGCACAGAGCCCAACACAGGGATCGAGCTCACGGACTGTGAGATCATGACCTGAGCCGAAGTCGGACGCCTAACTGACTAAGCCACCCTCATTTTCAACGGGAAACCAGAATTTCCCCAAAAGGCTTCACATTTAGGTTCTCGGCATGTAGAGATTCACTCAGCATGAGTGCTGCTTGATCTTGGGAAAGGGGGGATGGGTGTGTTGTTTATGGCGGTCCCTCCCTCACGTGTGTGGCCAGGGAGCAGCGGACCCACGACCGTTAGCCAGCAGGACTGCTTTATCCGCAGGGTGGTCTTCTGCTACCCTGGCCGCTACCACGGCAGCGTCCTGCGGGCTGTGTCCTCCAGAGTGCAACGAGCAATACTGCATCCGTCCTTGTTGGGGACACTGGTGCCCGCCCGCCCCCCCTCTGGCTGCTGACTCACCCACTCATGAGCTGGCTCCTCTCTACAGCCTGAGGCAGAGGCTCGGCCTGGATTGCCCATCAGTGGTCCACAGCCTTTCCTCCCCGACCCTCGAGAAACTGGGTTGGGGAGGAAAATGTCACCATTTAGCCCAGCCCCTCCATCGGGGAGATCCGGAGAAGTGGGGCTCCTTTTCCTTGCACGCTTCCACTCACCCATCACGGCCAAAGCCCAGAAGCTGGTGTTCCTGCCCCCGACCAGGCACGAGCAACCTCGCTGCCTTTGTCTGTCTCCGGTTCTCATGGACCAAAGTAAAATGTGTTCACTCGCAGAGGCCTTCATCCCAGTCTCGGGACTTTGAATGCGGCCGATGGGGTGAATCCTAACCGCGGTCTCCACCTGGTGGTCTCAGCAGACCGTCTAAATCATTTTCGCAATAGCCTTCCCCCAGCGGAGGACTCCGACGTGCCCACTGGTGACAGCAGCGCTCCCCACAACCGCGAGGACTCGGCCGGGTGTGGGGCGGTTTGCAAAGGCCCCGCGGCAGGGCGATCTCCCGCCCCTGCATCGGAGAGCGCCTCGGCGGACGAGTCGTTGAGTGCTGCCCGCTCGGGTGACCTTCCTAGAGAAGGGACCAGGACTGGCCTTCCGGGGCTTACAAAGCCTGACCCGCCCTGCCACCCTGGCTGTGGCAGTGGGGACCATGCCGGGCTGACGCCGGGACCGGAGGATGGCTTTCCGCACCCAGTGGTGACTGACCGGTGTCCAGAGCTTCTGGGGGAGAAGTTCCTCGGGCGTCCTTCGCTTCAACCCAGGTGGTCCACGCCAGTTCTTAGTCTGCAGCAGCTCAGCGACATGACAGCGCTTGCCTTGGCAGAAACTGGCTCGTTCCCAGGGAGAGCACGTCTGAGGGTCGTGCTGCCTGGACCAGCATCCAGCACGCGCCCGGCACATGGAAGATGCTCAGAAATGGCCCCTCTCCTGACTTCTTGATCAGCACAACCTCTGTGCTGGTTCCCAGTGGCCTCTGGAAACGTGATTCGGGCCCCGGGTTTGGGTGACTGATGAGTGAGAGCGGTTGAGGAGTCATCAGCACAGAGCCCGACGCGGGGCTTGAACCCATGAACTGGGAGGTCATGACCTGAGCCGAAGTCAGATGCTTAACCGACTGAGCCACCCAGGCGCCCCAAGGGAAGCGTGTTTTGCAGGCCCTCCTGTGAAATGCCGTCTGACAAGATTCCATGGTTTTCTAGTGGCTCAGACCTAAGTCTAGGCGGCTCCTTGTTTCACCAGCAGATATTTATTTGGCAGCCACTACATGCTCACCATGTCTGAGATTTTGAACTTAACAGCCATGAACAAAACAGATCCAGACCGCTGTCCCCCGGAGCATGGATTCTACTGCAGGGGAGGGGACAGCTATAAATAAAAGCTACGGAAAGTGACTGACAAAGTTGGAAAAGGTTGGAAAGGGAAAAAGGTTGGAAGCAGGAAAGGGGGAAGGGGGGTGCTGGGGAAGGAGGTATAATTTGAAGTGGGCTGGGTAGCGAATATCCTTCCCTGTCACTTGAAAGTGGAGCAGAGAGGAAATAGTCCTGCAGCTCTCCGGGGGAGCAGCCAGTGCAAAGGCCCTGAAGCAAGTGTGTTCATGAAACAAGCTGGTGGGTGTAGCTGGAACACAGGAGCAAGGGGCAGGAGGGGTTGAGGTCAGATGGGCCAACTTGCCAATTGTATAGACCACTGTTTGGACTTGGCTTCTGATGAAATGGGGAGTTCTTTTGAGTTCTTTGAGCCCGAGGAGGGCATGATCAGACATTGGCTTTCTAGTCTCTGGCTCGGCTGGTGGAGATGACAGGGGAAATGGCCAGAGCAGGAATCCTCGCCAGTGGCTGGAGGGTGCTTGGGATGGAAGTCAAACTCTTCCTGTACAGGTGCTGGGGAGACAGGGCGTGGCTCTGATGATAAGTGCTCCTGCCCCCAGTCCATTTCACTGTCTTATAGATGAAGAAACTGAACAGAGGTAGCAATTTGCCCCAGGGGACCCGGTCTTTAAGGCAAAGCTGGAATGGATTGCAACCATCCAGGCCCCATAGCTCCGTGTGGGAGGAGCTCGGGGCTGGCTCAGCCTCCTGGACAGAGGTGGTCTGGGCACGGGGCTCAGGGCTCAGCTGCAGCCAGCTGGCCGGCCGGAAAAGAACCATTCTTGCCCCAGGGTGCATGTAATTTATTAAAGAGCTTTGACAGTCACAAGTTCCAGCAAGCCCGGGGTGGTGGCTGCAGGGTGGCCTGTTTGCCCTACAGGCACGGTTACTGAGCGTGCCTGGCCATCTGCAGAAGGGCTTTCCCCGTATGACGCATTCCTTTCTGGCCCCGTCTCGCCACTGGAGTCGCAGACCGCGGGCTGGGCAAAGGGAGCTTCTGAGGAAGTAGGACCATCCCTCACAGCTCAGCCCTCCGATCGCCCTGGCCAAGTTTTTACCAGTTCTTTCCGGAAGGAAGGTTCCTTGGGGATCGTGCTAAGAGCAGTTTCCCAGCTACACAGACGGGGGTCCGCTCGGGATTGAAGCCCGTGCGTGTGCGGTTGTCCAAGGAGCGAGGATGGTCGCGCTCCCGTCCACCTCTGAACAGCCCAGACGGGTTTTAAAGGGAGGACTTCGGCTCAGACCGGAAATCCTGCATCTGCCAGGGAGAGCTGGCCTGTCGGTGCCTGGCCCTGTTCGCCGACCGGGGCCCTCACAGGACGCAGCAGGTGCGGGAGCCGGGTCCTTGCTGCTTCAGCTGCTGCTGGAGCTGCTCCTTCTCCGCCGTCAGCACCTTCACCCTCTCCTGCAGCGTGCGCAACTCCGCCACCCACTTCTGCGGTGTGTGTGTGGGGGGGTGGGGTCACCCCACAAGCAGAGGCCTGAGGTGGTGCCGCCTCGGGTTTGCCCCCTCCACCCAGGGTTGAACTGACGGAGGAAGGCAAGCCCCGGAGGGCCCGGCGGGGGCCTACTCAAGGCCACTGGGGACCACATAGCCCTCCCTGCTTGGTGGGAGCCGGGTTCCTGGCCATGCCATCACCCCTGACAAATCAACCCTGGGGGCTGAGGGAAGCCGCTTGACCTGAGGGGACTGCCAGCATCCCAGCGTCCGGGCCCGGCCTCCTCAAGGGTTGGGTAGGAGCCGCCCGGGCATGTCCCTCCCTCTCTCCGCCAGCCCCTTGCTCTCCTCTGCTTTTCTGCCATCTGTTTCCCTCTTGAAAGGCTTTTTCTTAGGACTCTGTCCAGCACTAACTGCCCCCCATTGTAAGGGCCTTCCCCTAAATACAGTATAGTACGGCCCCGTCTTCAGGGTGGTCTTAAAGCTTCTCAAGATTCCATCCACCCCCCCCCCCGGCTCCCCCAGCCCACGGCGGTGGAACATGGGGTGTAGCGGGGTTACTTCAGTGCTCCCCCCACCCCCCTGTGTACCTGCGGGTGATGGAGCACTGAGGGAAACCCGATGGCATGGCCAGGACTGCTGGCCTGCCCCCACCCCAGCCGCTTACCTGCTTGCACCACTCCTGGATGGCGTGGACAGACAGCGGGCCCTGGATGCTCCTGTCCCGCCGCAAGAACACCTCCCCCTGGTCAGTCTCATAGAGCTGTGGCTCGGCCTGGGCCCTGGGGGCGCGCACCCTCAGGCGGATCACCTTGGTAAGGGCGACAGTGACTCTGGTCGCTAATCCCGCCTGGCTGGCTCTTCCGGGCTCCTGGGGCAGCCTGGTGGGCGTGGGGGCAAGGGGGCACTTCTGGCCTCTCCGGTCACTCTGCCCGGCCCCCCTCTGCCCCCACCCTCCACCCCCCAGCCCTGCTCAGCAGAGCCGAATGGGGCCATCATGCGGGGGCCAGACAGACCCAGGGCTCACCTTGAGGGGGGTGGGGGAGGCGATGGTGCTGACCACGGGGATGAAAGAGAGTGTGTAGGCGTCGGGGAAGACCTGGGGCTGGAAACCCTGCAGGATGGAGTCCACCAGCAGGCGCACGCGGTCCTCGTCGCGGTGGCTGCAGGGGACGCCCCGCACCAGGCCGCTGTCCTCGACGCCCACGAACAGGCTGCCGCCCTCGCCTTTGAGGAAGGCGCACGCGTAGCGCCGCAGGTGGTGCTTGAAGGCCAGGCTCAGGTACTCGCCGCCGCCGCGCTTGAACTCCACGCTGCGCGTCTCGCTGCCCAGGAAGGCGCCCTGGAAGAGGCGCTCCTGGCCCGGGACCTCCTGGTGCACGATGGCGCTGTCGGAGCGTGCGCCGCTGGGCCGGTCCTGGGACCTCTGCGGGGCCCGTGCCGGGGGGCTGTTGGCAGGGCTGGGGCTCGGGCTCCGGCTGCTGTTGTCCTCCCGCTGGGGTGAGGGGTGAGAGTAAGGAGCCTCGGGGGACAGGACAAGAGGGACGGGACACACCTCCTTCCGCCTGGGGCCCGGCCCGCTGGGGCATCCTAATGCCCCGTCCCAGGCGGAAGGGCCTAACTGCCCACCGTCCTGCAGCCAGTGCTGGAAACCTGCTAAGTCAAGGGTTTGAGCCGCCACTGCTCCTTCCTGCTGGGCTATGCTATGCATGGTGAGGACAAGCAGTTCTCCTTCTCAGGTCGGGGGCCAGAACCCCGGAGGCCAATCTCTTCCCACTTAGGTTGTAGACTGGCCTCTGAGGCTCGGGGCCAAGATCATTCCAACAGATAACCCCCTTCTTGTCTCCCTGAAATGCCTATCGCTTTCTGGACCACTGATCAGTCCTGAATCTCAACCCTCCTCTGGCCCTCCTGAGACCCTTTCCGTGGTTTCTGTTTTGTTCTCGGGCTCTGTGCATGAGCAGACTCATGGCCACCGGCCTCTTCTGGGCCTCATCACGGCCTCCGTACCTCCCACCCACCCTCCTTGCTGACCCTGGACGCAAGAAGATTCTCACTCCTCCCTTACTGGGTTCTCTGCTGCTGTCCCCGGCTCCTTGCGGCCTCCCAGTCTCCAGCAGGGGCCTCCGGGGCTGGGAGTGCCGTGCGGGCTGGGGCATGGTGGTGAGGGGCGCATCCCTGTCAGCCCTGCAGTTCCCAAAGGAAACAGTTTCTCAGAAACACGAGAAACTGCCACACAAACATGAAGTCAGGCTCACAGGTCTTGAAATGTCAGTCACAGAGCTGTTCAGTTCTGCAACCATTTGAACACCACGGAGTTTTCATCCCGAAAGAAAAGGAAAACCAAGATCACCTGTCTCACAGAGTGTCCTGCCACAGCTGCAGTGAGTTGACTGCGTCCTCCCATCCCCCATAAAGGCCCACCTTCCCTCCCTCCCCCTGCTTCGGTCTCGAAGCCCTTCCTGGCCCCTGCCCTCTGGCCCAGCTTTCTTCCTCAGCTCCCCAGCAGCCTTCAACCTGAGCTCCAGCGGCACCAAAAGGCTTGCCCTTCTGCAAATGCAACATCCCCCCTCACCGTGTCCCCCTGCCTAGAACGACCTTGCGCTCCCCGAGTCCCAGCTTAGACTTCAGCCCTTCTGTGAATCTGTCCCCACAGCTCTGTGTCCCCCCACGGCTCCAGGCTGCCGAAGCGCTGTAACTGGCTCTGTCTGGCTCTGCTCAAAGATGAGGGCTCTTTAAGGCAGGGCCGAGCCTTTGCTTTCTGCTGTGCAGCCTGGCCTGGAGCGGGCACTGATGTTGGCCAGCCGAGTGGATGAGGTGGGCCAAAGAGAAAACCCTGAAGGCCCGGGCTGGCCCAGACCCAGAGGATGGAATACAGAAGGGCCCAGGGGGCAGTCCCCACACTTTGGCCCTTCTCCAAACGCTTCCAGGCTGGAGGCAAACTGTGAAGGTCAGCGAGCCTCCCCAGAGTCAGCAGGCAGTGCCAGCCTCAGGCTATGCTCATTTGAGTAGCAGCCCGCAGGTTTGCAGATCTGCCCCTGGCTCCTCAAAGACGCACCTCCACCCCTGCCCAGGCTTCTCCCCGCCCCCGGGTGAGGCTCTGGGGCTTGCAGGCTTGGTGGCTCCAGAAGCGCCCCCTTTACCTCTCTGCCGCGCGAGGGCCCTCGGCTGTCACCCAACACCAGCTCCTTCCCGCGGGCCACCAGCTCCTTGAGGATCTGGTGCTCCTCCACGGCCGTCTGCAGGCGCCAGGGGAGGGAGGCCAGGCTATCCCTGTGGGTGGTCACCTGCACCAGTGCGTAGGCCTTCCGTGGTCGCCTCACCACCTCGATGTGCTCCCGTGCCACCGGCAGCCCCAGCCGTTCCAGGGCGTCTCGCAGCAGGCAGGTGAGCACAGGCACTGAGAACTGGGGGTTCAGGTGGCCCACGTAGAGAATGTGCGTGCTGGGCGTCACCTGCAGGCCTGAGTCCTCAGGCAGGGGCTCTTCCCTGGGGACCTCTTGCAGGGGCGGTGTGCCCGGGAGCTCCATGAGGGGCTGCTGCACCTGCGTTTGCGGTGATCTCTTCCGGGGGGGGGGGGTCCCTGGAGAGGTCTCCCTCTGAAGGGCTTCCGGGATTCCTTACTGCTGGCTGTTCTTCCCAGGGCCTCCCAGGGGACTCAGGGGGTGCAGAGGCTCCTGGGAGGTTCACAGATTGGCAGGGGCTGGGCAGAGCCAGAGGGAGGGAGGGAGGGCAGAGGGCCAGCCGGAAGGGGCCTGCCACCCACCCAAGCCCAAGGCCTAGGACAGGAAAGAAGGGAGTCAACCAGGGCTGAGGCAGACAGCAGAGCATGTGGGCCTGCCCCTCCATTCTACAGGAGGGAAGACCGAGGGGATATGCCCAAAGAGGGGCCGAGGGGACCAGAACTCAGGTCTTTGAGGGCCCCACCACAACCCTTCGTGGGCCCCAGACGTCCTGTCTTTCCTCTTCCAGTCCACAGGCTGGAGGCCTCCCAGGGTTTCCTGCCCCCCAGGGGTCCCTGCTGCCTCCAGGCCCCAGGGAAACCTTTTCAAGGGGACTCTGGAGAGGAAGCTTTAACCTGGGGCTTGGAGGACCAGCAGCAGCCACACCGAAGCTTCTTGCCCCGTCTGAGCCTGGTGTGAGCCCAGCAGAGGCTCTGAAACAGGGCTGGGCCAGAGGGTTTTTAGAGCATGGGACACTGATGAAAGCTTTGGCCCCTCCCCAGAAAAACGGCCTTCCAGTTTGAGGAGGCTCACGGCCCTTCTTAAGAACTCCTGATCTAAGACCGAATCCTCTGATTTGGGTCCAGAGAGCAGAAGTGAGGAGGGGCAGAGCTGGCGCCCTTAAGGACGCCCGCTCCCGCAGGGCCAGGGGCCTCAAGCCCGAGCTGTGCACAGACGGAACCTACAGGAGCCCTCCACTCACCCCCACACACCCGGCCTCCGTTCTGGGTGGCAGCTACCACCCGCCTGCGTCTTTTCAGATTGGATCCTTGAGACAGTCAGGGCCTGGCGACCAGCACGGCTGGGTGGGGGCATTCAGGGCAAACAGGCACAGGAGGAAACGGGAGGCCTATGACCCTCATGTCCTGAGGGTTCCTGGTGGAGCGTGGGGGGTGCCCGCCCTCAGCTCCCACAGACTCCTGACCCCTGGCCAGCAGCTCCCTGGTTTGGGGGGGGATCTTGGGGGCTCCGCGGCAGGCAGGGAGAACAGGGGCTGCAGGAAGTGGGCGGGGCCTGCACAACCACCTCTGTGATCTCACAGGAGTCAACAATGACTTCCTGGCCGGCCTCAGGCCCCCGGGTTGGGAAGTCAATCAGGAAAACTCCGTCCCCCCCCCACCCCCGCCCCGTTCCCGACCCCCAAGGTAGTGAACACACACTATCACACACTATGGCTGGGCTGTGTGGCTCCGTCTGGGCAGTCCAGGGGCTGAGAACGTACTTCCTCCTTCTGTAATGTCTCTCCTGTCCCTGCCCCAAACCGTGACCACGCAGGTCCTCCGGTGCCACGAGTCCGCATCTTCCCCTTCGTGACCAATCCCAGGCTCCGCTGAGCACTGATGACCCAGCTACTCCCAAGACGGATCTGAGCACACGCCGCTGGGCCCAGGGCTGCCCCGGACCCCAGGCCCCCTGCTCCACGCCAGAGACGGAGGTTGCTGTCCGGCCGGAGCCCTGAAAAATAGGTCAAGATTTGCCACTTCTTTTCAAGGACAGGGTTGTCACCTACTGTTTGACGGGGGCCAAGACATGGGTGATACACAGCCTTTATTAAAAGCAGAAATCTGTTCTGCAGTGGGTGGGGGGGGGTTTGGTAAATGCTTTCATTATGCAGATGTAGGTAGCTCGTTCCCACGCGGCTTCTGGAAGTCCTGAGTTGGGGGGTGGTGAGTGTGGAGGCAGATGCTCCAGACTGGGGAGGCTGGGGGCAGCAGGGTGCTTCCCTTCTCTGAGCAGCCGTTCTGGAGATGCTAATGGAGTTTTGTTTCCCTCAGGGACACTGAGGCAGAGGCTTGGCTGGGGAAGCCCAGAGAGGAGACCGAGGCCGTCAGGCGCAGCGTGAAGCTCTGGAAGAGCCTGGCAGGTGCCCTCCCCGTGCCCACCCCGGCATGACGGCTGTGAGCTCCCCATGCTCCCCCTCCTCTCTTTCAGGCCTGTCTAGACTCTGCCAACACGAGCTACTCTCACGGCAACCATGCAGCAGGGGCTGTAGCTGCCGAAGAAGAAGGCTACGTGGGGTCGTGGCTGGCCAGGAGAGGCGCCCTGACGGACGGAACATGTGAACATGTGAACCAGAGGACGTGACTCACTTCTCCAGGGGCCTTGCTATCAGGCAGCCTTTTGCGTGAGGTTTTCCACGCTGATCTGTGCCCAAGCTCTCCCCACTCTTACTGGGGGTCTCTTTAAACACCTGCATTACTAATTTCCCTGGGATCATTAACCACCTTACGTGAAATGAACATCCGTTCCACTTCCTTTGGGGGGGGGGGGAGTAAAAACTGTCATTGTAAGCACTGAATACATTTACAAAGTGATGTCTTAAATACTGAAATGTGCTGCAATATCACTGGGTTACTTACAGCATCGGGCTTTCTAACAGTACTGATGGCACTTCGCAGGTGGCCCGGCCGGTGGCAGACACAGGTCCGGTGTTAGGGATAAGCAGCCCCTTGTAGTCCCCTCACTGGATGTCTGTGGCCTTATTGACAAACCCTACTTTGCACTAGAGGGAAAAAACTCTTGAATCTAAGATTAAGAATGTGAGGGGGACCCAAAGATGAGGGGGAGAGGGAAGCTATGGATAAGGTTCTTCCCGTGTTATCCGGAGAGTGTCCACTTGGTGGCCCCACACGGCCACGATCCCCGAAACCACATCAACAACGGGTGTCTGCGCTGACTGCCCAGGGAGGCCAGCCAAGGAGCAGAGGGGCAGGGGCAGAGGCCAGAACTGAGCTCAGCCATCATGTGGGAGAGGACAGGATGTCCGGAGAGCAAACTCTGGAGCTCGGGGGAGAAGTGGTATGGACCCAGCCTTTGCCATCTGGGCCCCACGACGGCGCTCCAGCCCATCTGGAACCTTCCCCTTGCGTGTGGGCATCTGCCTGCTGATTCCCGCCCACCTCTGGCAGGGTCCAGCCCCAGCTACCCACAGGTGTCTTGGGTCCTGTGTCTTTACACTGGGACTTGTCAGCTGTGGGTCGCTGGAAGCACCTGCAGTGGCTTTGGTGTCACAGGCCCGGCACAGATGCACAGTGTGTGACACGTGGCTGTCGTGGTCCCTGGTCTAGAGGTTTCCAGCTGTGGAGCTTCCTGATAAAATAAGGTGACTTAGGGCAAGGAGGCTGCCAAAAGCTGAGGGACGATGAGGGGAGGGGTGTCTGGGCTCTCCGAGGCAAGAATGTTCTCCAAGGTTTTAGCGTTAGTTGCAGGGAGGAGGGGGGAGTCACCTTACGGCTCTTCCTGAGGAGGGATCGTGGCATCGGTGTGAGGGTAGAAACAGTGTCCACTCGGACGACCAGAGCCACAGCCCAGAGATCTCAGGTTGTTTCACAAAGATGTCACCGAGGGATGCTGCGGAGGCTCCTGCTCAGGACTAACGGCCTGACAACGCAGAGGTGACAGGGACCGTGTGGCCAGCAGCAGGGAGGGGCCACAGGTGGGGAGGGGGCAGACAGTTCCTGAAACCATTCAGCCCTCAGTAGAGCTGGACTCTTCCGTCATCTCCTGAAGCACATGAACCTCCTGCTGTTCCTCAGCACCGGAATCAACGCCCTCTCCTTGTGGTGGCGAGTGTGGCACGTGAAGCTGGTGCCGGGGGGCCTGTGACCCCCCCCAGTCCCAGATGTGTTCTCATTTTGTGGGCAGCTGGACTACTGGGGGTTCATGGAGTGGTCTCGCCTGCCCGGCAGGTGTTTGGGGATGCCAGAGGCCACTTCAGCTTCTCCGCAGGACTCTGGGTCACTATCAGAAGGCTTGGCTTTGGGGGGCACCAGGGTGGCTCAGTCGGTTAAAGCAGCCGACTTTGGCTCCGGTCATGATCTCACGGTTGGTGGGTTTGAGCCCCACATCTGCTGTCAGTGCAGAGCCTGCTTTGGATCCTTTGTCTCTCTCAGTCCCTCCCCTGCTCTCTCTCTCTCTCTCTCTCTCAAAAATAAATAATATTAAAAAAAAAAAAAAAGGCTTGGCTTTGGGAAACAACTTCAAAAGTCTTTTTTGCAGTCCTGACCCCAGAAGTTAGGGCAGTAGAGCGAAGGGGTAACCATCTTCTCACCTCCTACAGAATCTGACACACGGGTACCTTTCTAGTTCTGTTCCTCAGGAAGCCAGATGAAAGGGGAATGTCAGCTGTCTCAAGGCAACGTTGCTCATGGCAGGAACGGACTGTAAATTATCTGGACCAGCCACTTTGGGCCTCCTCAGTGCCGTGACTCAATGGGGCACATCCCTTGTAGGGACCCGGAAGCGATGCCTGTGGAGTAGCTGTGCCGACGAACTGGGGAGTTCTTGCTCCCTCGGGGCGTGATGCTAAGCCAAGGTGAACCCCATGGCTCCCCGATGTGCCCCATCCTCTTGCCACCTGGGCTGTCACCTGGATGATGGCAGGCCTTGCCAGGACTACCCCACCGAGGAGGACTGCTTAATGCTGTCCTGCGGGCGGGTGATGGTGCCTGACAGCCTTCAAGGTGGGTCTTGACTCTGGTCAGCAGGATCCGAGACGGTGGCCCCAGGAGGGTGTGACAGGCACCCCTAATTAGCTGTGGAGTTTGGGCCAAGGAGTTCTCTCCAAGCTTCAGTTTCGCACTTGTAGATTGGAGGAACACGGTCGTTCTAGAGGGTTGTAGAGAGGTTGAAGTGAGATGCAGGACATAAACCACTCAGCCCAAGTGTGTCAGCACAAGCGTACGCTCTTGGAGACTGGGAGGCAAGTGGGGTGGACGCCGATTCGCTCCGTAAGGTGCAACCCCGCAGTGTGCCTGGCTTGTCTACATGTCCTGGCATTATCTTCAGTCCCCGTGTCTCGTGGGGAAGGGGCACACCGCTAAGTTCATTGTGGGGGTTCAGTGAGGCCCTCTTTGGCAGTGAATGAACAGCACAGCTTGCCACCCCGGTGCCCAGGAGCCTGTGGAGAACGGTCCTGTTCTGGTTCGGCAGCCCTGGCCATGACGGCATCCCAGGGACCACGGTTAGAACCCACAGGAGCCAAGTGGAAGACAGGTTACAAGTCAGTCACCACGTCTGAACCAGCCATGGTGAGCGCTGGGAGGGCCCTCTGGTCTCATCTGAAACCCTCATACCACATGGGCCCAAAGAAGTGAAGTGACCCGCCCAAAGCGTCACAATAAAGAGACTGGCTAGAACCTCAGCCTTGGCCTCGGCGTCAGATTACTTGGCTTCAAACGATTGCTTTGGCGCTTCCTCGCCGTGAGCTAAGCGTGCGTTTCCTGATCTGTAAAATGGGTTTGCCGTGAAGATTTAACGAGACGATTCTAATTCCTGTGGAGTAGTTCCCGGGACCCTCGGTGACGTAAGAGTGGCAGCTATCGTGAGGTTTTCCTGCATGGCGCTGCTGCCCCCTCCTGTGACCCCCATAGAAACGGGGTCCCACGTCAGCACAACGGGTACCATGCCAGCTGGCTGGCCCGCACATCTCCTCGCCCCACGACGAGGAGGAGGAGGACGAACCTGGCCATGGAGGCTCTTGGAGCTGTTGACCCAAACACGGCTCTTCCCCCTGGGCTCCGCGTAGCTGCCGCGTTCCCTGCCGTCTAGCCACACCAGAGCGGAGCCCTCTGAGGGCAGAGAACGGACTCCACGCCGCCTTCCCAGTGGGCATCTGGCAGGCGGCCTGCTCTTCAGGGACTGCTGGGGTCGGGAGAACTCTTGGGGATCACCTTGTCTACATGCCTCACTTAAGGACGAGGGAGCCAGGACCAAGAACGGTGAGTGCTCCACCACTCGAGGTGCAGTGCGCCACCGACTGATTAAAACCACACAGGCATCTATATTGGTTTTTATTTATAAACAAATTGACATAAAAGAAGTCCAGATGGCAGCGGGCGCGGCTGACCTGCTCACAAAGGAAGCATCTGGATAATGGAGAGGGGACAACCAGACTCCAGCCGGGAGACCCTTCCCTCCCATCTGCCTTACGGGCTTTGTGGCCTAAAATCCGGGGGCCTGACCTTCTTCGGCAGCAGTTCTGGCCAGGGCAGGGAGCTGTGTGGGGGAGGGTGTGGGCGGGGGACTCCCATTCCCACAGAGGAGGCCTGGGGCTGCAGAGCGCCCCTGGAGGCGGAGGGGAAGGCGGCAGACACTCTCTTCTCCCCAAGCTGAGGGGTACACGGTCAAGGCCTGAGGGATCTGTCCACCCCACAGAGCAAGCGCTCCAGGGTGATGTGGTCTGAGAAGAGCCCATGCCTCTCTGGGACTGGGGCAGGGCAGTCTCTCACCTCCTGAAACCCGGTGTCTGGAGCGGGAGGAGTATGAACCGGAGGGCTTGCCCGAATGCCAGAAACAATAAATTAACAATAAGAAAAGATCTTTTTTTAAAAAAGGTAGAGGTCTGCACCATGAGTTTGGAGTCTGGAGCTCTTGTGAGGAGGTGGTGGGAGCTGTGGGGCAATGGGGTGCCACACCAGGCCCGGCAGGTGGCAGGGGAACTGGGCACGAGTGTCAATTCAGGGCCCCGTCTTCTGGGGCCTCAGAGGTCAGCCCCTTCCTCCATCACCCGGAAGGTGTTCAGTCTAAACGCCCGCTGAAAGGCCAGCGGGCTTGAGAAATAAATACAGAGGGGCCTCAGAGCCGAGGCAGGGCTGAGGGCAAGAGCAGCGCCAGCCCTGGGCCCCACACTCCCCCCTCCTCAGCCCTTCATGGAAGGACGTATCATGGCAGGAGGGGGAGCAGTGGTGGCTCCACACAGCCTCCTGGAGTCCTGAGGCGGCCCTGAGCCCCACTGAGGCGCCCGGAGCAGACTGTTGGCCCTCCTTCCGGGGAGAAGAATGTCGACCCCTTCCGGAGGACCCCGCAGTTGTCTGGGCGGTGTCTCCCGGTTCAGAACTTGCCCTGCTTCAGCCGGTCAATGTGGAAGGAGAGCTTGAGCGCGGGCCCCAGCTTCAGCCCCATGTACTTCATCATCATGTCGCTGCGCAGCAGAAGCAGGGCCTTGCCATCGATCTCCTGGCGGGGGTGGGGGGAGGCACCATCAGAGGCCTGGTGGGTCTGACCACCCAGGTTCTGATGAAAGCCACCCAGGCACGCGGGGCCCAGTGAGCACGCTGTGCCGCTAAAGCCTACCTGTTCCCACAGCTTCCGCTGCCGGCCCCACATCTGCTACTGAGCCCAGCGGGTGCGCTCTTCACAGGAGCTCATGCTGGCTTCCCTTCCCTGCTGCCTGAGGTGTTTCCCCACCCTCGCAGC